TTAACTTTGATAAAGAATATCTCTTTGGTTTTGAGACTTTAGTCTTTGCAACTTCAGGGATCTTATCTATGCACACTCAGCTTGTAACACTCCAAAGAGAAAGGAAAACTTGAAATCGCATCATATGACCCCTTTAAGTTAATGATGTTTGTGGTCACAGTTTCATTCGCGGATCCTTTATGTCAGATTGACCAATATGACCAATATTGACTAGCCTACAACTTGGATAAGATTCCTAAAAGTTTCACACCTACAGCAGACATTGATGTGTTAATAGATCAAAAGTGGGCATTAATAATTTAATTAACGAATCACAATCAGGCTTTCTTAAAGGAAGATCTGTTCATAATAATACAAGGTTGGTGCTGGATCTGGTGGAGTACAGTCACTTGATAGAGGATGATGGATTCATTTTATTTTTAGATTTCAAAAAGGCCTTTGATATGATAGAGCACGCTTTTCTTCTTTAGACTTTAGAACTTTTCAATTTTGGTGAGCAGTTTATTAGTGTTATAAAAACGATTTACAGAGTAGTTCCGTTTTCCGTTTTTCTCCCGTTTGGTACTACACAAAGATTTCAGATTGGCCGTGGAATAAGGCAGGGATGCCCATTGTCCCCGCTTTTGTTTATTTTCGCTGTAGATACGCTGTCCACTCTGGTTAGTCATGATTTATCTGTGAAGAAATTAAATGTATTTGAGAAAACCTTAACAATCAGTCAGCTAGCAGATGATACGACATTATTTTTACAAAACAAAGAGCAAATTCCTCTGGCTATCTCTCTAATCAATTCCTTTTGTAAAGCTTCAGGCCTTCAACTAAATCTAAACAAATGTGAACTTTTGGCCCTACACCCCATTCGAGATGTGTCCTTGTATAACATTCCAGTTAAAGAGACGGTGAAATATTTAGGCATTTCTATTTCCAAAGATTTGAAGATTAGTATGAAAGAAAATTTTGAAAATAAAATACAAAAAGCCAATGGTATCTTGAATAGCTGGTTACAGAGAGATGTATCAATTTTCGAGAGAATTCTTCTATCTAAAGTTGAATATCCATCTAGACTGATCTATCCAGCTCTTTCTTTAGCTCTCTCTTCAGTTATTATAAAAACAAGCCTCAAAAAATGTATGACTGTATTTGGAGGCACAAAACTCATTATATTAGAAAATCTGATTTTATCAAAGGGTATGAAGAAGGTGGTCTGACTGTAATTGAATTTGAGAGTGTGAATACTTTGTTAAAACGTAAGTGGCTTCAAATGTTTTTAGGTGATACTGAGAGCTTTTGGTATGATGTGACTTTGATTTATCCAAACTTCCAGTGAAGCTAGCAGCATTCCACCAACAAGTCTTATTATGCTGGAAATTGGCATACACACACAATTTTACACCCCACAATACTCCTATATGGAATAACAAATATATTCTTCACAGAAACAAATCCCTGTTTTATGAGGACTGGGTAAATAGAAATATTTGGTCAGTGCTGGATCTAATGGATGACACTGGTAATATGTTAAATTACAATGCATTCACTTTAAAACACGGATTTGCCTGTCATCCAAAGCAATTCTCTACTGGTTTCTTGGAATGTTTTGTTATATGATTTGTCTGGAGCTTATTATGATTCTATTGTGTTGAGCCGTCCATACCAGAATGTTTTTTTGTATACTAATTAATGCCAGTTTGTTGTATTCAGATTTTGTACTTAATAAAAAAATAAATAAAATAATAATAAGCGGAGCTTTTACACAGCAGCTTCATTTTGAAAGCAAGATACACTTACAGTATGGACACATGGCTAATAAACAAAAGAACCAAATAAAACACAACCCAGGCAGTACACTGAGAAAAAACAAAATGAATAATACTTCAAACAAATAATAATTCATCACAGCATTTACCGAATGTGTGGAAATATTAGAAACATTAACAGGAGAGTTTTGCTGCGTCACAATCACCTGTTAGATACAGTAACATCACGTCAGATCATAACTGTTTCTGACATTCACATCATTCTACAGTAAACAAATAGATAAAATCACATTCGAGATGTGCTACACAGTCTTTCATTGGCAAAAAAAATCACTTAAATATTTCACCAAGAATTCAAAAATAAATAAATACAGGCGGACATGTTTTATTATGAGTATTTGTGTGTGTGTGTGTGTGAGAATTTCTATGCACGTTTAACTTGTGAACAGGACTTTTATTTTGCCCAGTCGGTGTGACGTCACAAGGCTGCGCCGCGCTCCTGCCTCTGTTGTGATTCAGCTGAAGAAAGGTTTGTGTTTTCATCATTTAAAGTGTTCAAATCGACGCAGACCGCAACTTAAAAGACATGAGCGACAGGTTTAAGTCATCTATCTGTAAGTATCTTGTTTGATGAAACTTGCTCATTTTGGGGTCTTGTTGAAGAAACAGCTGACCTTTTATTGTGATTGTAGTATAGCCAAGAAATGTTGGGTTCATATAAGTTCTTACATTTTTAACCCTACTAATGTGACCCACCGTTTTATCCTTAAAGGAAGTTTTTATTTTTTATTACGAAAACCCAAAATCGTTATCTCTTGAATAACAACCCAGGCAGTACACTGAGAAAAAACAAAATGAATAATACTTCAAACAAATAATAATTCATCACAGCATTTACCGAATGTGTGGAAATATTAGAAACATTAACAGGAGAGTTTTGCTGCGTCACAATCACCTGTTAGATACAGTAACATCACGTCAGATCATAACTGTTTCTGACATTCACATCATTCTACAGTAAACAAATAGATAAAATCACATTTGAGATGTGCTACACAGTCTTTCATTGGCAAAAAAAAATCGCTTAAATATTTCACCAAGAATTCAAAAATAAATAAATACAGGCTGACATGTTTTATTATGAGTATTTGTGTGTGTGTGTGTGTGAGAATTTCTATGCACGTTTAACTTGTGAACAGGACTTTTATTTTGCCCAGTCGGTGTGACGTCACAAGGCTGCGCCGCGCTCCTGCCTCTGTTGTGATTCAGCTGAAGAAAGGTTTGTGTTTTCATCATTTAAAGTGTTCAAATCGACGCAGACCGCAACTTAAAAGACATGAGCGACAGGTTTAAGTCATCTATCTGTAAGTATCTTGTTTGATGAAACTTGCTCATTTTGGGGTCTTGTTGAAGAAACAGCTGACCTTTTATTGTGATTGTAGTATAGCCAAGAAATGTTGGGTTCATATAAGTTCTTACATTTTTAACCCTACTAATGTGACCCACCGTTTTATCCTTAAAGGAATTTTTTATTTTTTATTACGAAAACCCAAAATCGTTATCTCTTGAATATGTTGCTAATTTCTTCATTTTATGGGCAAAATATTTCAACCAAAAGCAAAAGTGGCTTAAATCTCCTTTGTTTTCTTGTTGAATTTAACTCTCGTTTCATCCCTCAGGCTTATATAAAGAACAGCATCATGATGAATTATTCAAAGATATTTATCCTTGTCACTGTGCTTTTTTCTGTGTATATATATATAATCTCATATTATGATGAACGCATGATGTTTTATGTCATTATGATTGTCCATTGTAAGATACAACCATCTGTCCCTGATCTTGTATATAATTATAAGTTCGGCAATAATAATAAAATTATCCACAAATAATGCTTTTTTCACTCAAAAACTCATGTACGTAAAGTCAGATTAATGAGGCCTACGATGAATCAGTTCCAAAAATAAACACAAAACCAGTCCTAATTGAAAGAAAACAAGCTGACAAAAAGATGTGATAATATTGCATAACGATATCTATAAGCTGTTTTTGTGCCCCGGTCATTTTAACACCACAAGTGTTACAGGGATTTAAACACAACCTGAAGGTTAAATTGTACCGACATTTGCCATTATATGATTTCCAGAAAACACGAACGGAGTATGTCATCTCTGAGACTGGTATTATACGATTAAAAATGTAAACGCAGCTAATGCATGGCATTCACATCAGAAAAATGTGAATATCTAAAAGACAGACATGAACATACCAGCAACACAAAACAACATCAGATGAATATATGCATCTAACTTTAACATCTGTGGTAAAGCAGTACAAAAATACACTCACACACAGCAAAATTCACTTAATTTATATGTTTTCCTCAGAAAGCAAGACTAAATATCTTCCGTCATTTTGCTTATCTAGTAAATGCAAATTGATTTAAGAATTCTTAGTATTTTTGTCTTGTTTCTAGTCAAAATACCTAATATAAGCCTTTTTTGCAGTGATTTTGTTCTTTTTTTGTTCAGTTGTACACTGCAAAAAATGCTTTTCTAGCTTATATCTTTTGTCTTGTTTCCAGCCAAAATATCTTAAAAATTCTTAAATCAAGAAGGATTTTATAGACAAGTAAATATTGTCTTGTTTTCAAGACTTGAAAGAGTTTCAAGTACATTTCAAGAGTTTTTGCTTAAACAAGCAAAATAATCTGCCAGTGGGGTAAACAAAATAATCTTATTTCAAACAGAAAACAACTTGTTTCAAGCAAAAACTCACTTAATTTTGACTTGTTTTTTTTCTGAAAACAAGACAATTTTTATTTGTCTAGAAAATCCTTCTCGATTTAAGAATTTTTTTATATTTTGGCTGGAAACGAGACAAAAAAATCTAAGCTAGAAAAGCATTTTTTGCAGCGTAATGCTAGTTTTCAGTGTTTTTTTTTTGTTGACTAATCAGATCATTTAAGGCCTTTAATTCTCACTCTGACTGACTCCCTTGTTGAACTAATTCTGTTCATTATTCTCATCTTAAACAGGACAAAGTGTCCACATAGACAGGAAAAACTCCTGGTGAAGCAACTGAGATCCACGTGACACTGTTATAAAGATGGCGTTTATTAAAGAGGAGAGTGAAGACATGAGGATTGAAGAAGTCATAGTCAAACAAGAAGAAACTGATGAACAAATAGGTTGGTTCTGAAAGCTGAACGAAAAATTTCTGGAAAATGTGTCATTATTAAAACGTTTTTTTGAAATCACATACTCTCTTGCTCACTCATACAAACACACACACACACACATACAGTGCAGACACACACTCAACTTGTCAAAGCCACTCTGATGGTTTTATCAATAAAATTGTTTCACAACTTAAAAGCTACATGATGTTCTCATCACAGAGTTACTAACGTTGCTGTTCTTGAAGCAAATAAACTTACAACTTGGCACACATCGGGTGATCATTATGCCGATCTGTCACCACTTATTTAGCCCTTGGCCAGACTTTGCTTTTCTACAGGCAGGAGTGCCCTTAGAGCTTGTGTCAAGGCATGTTGTTGTCACAACAGATGCCTTCAGATTGGGCTGGGGGCCTCTGTATGCAAGAGGGACAGGCCCTGGACAGGGCCTCGTCTGCAGTGGCATATAAATTGACTCGAGTTCACGATGGTGTTGCTAGCGTTGCTCGAGTTCTGACCGCTGCTTCAGGGCAAGCATGTGCTCATTTGGATGGACAACACTGCGACGGTTGCATACATCAACCATAAAGTGGTTATACACTCGCGTCGCATTTATTTGGGAAGCTCAGTTACACCTGATCGCCTCCCAGGAGTCCTCCATTGCCAGCTGTTTAATTCCCTGACTGAGGCCCCCTCGGCCCGGATGATGGTTGTGCCCTACAGGCCCACCTGGACCTGGTCCTCTGACCTGATGTTCCTTGCGACAGCCTTTCCCTGGCAAATCCCCCTAAGGAAGGACATTTTCTGCACTTCCAGAGAGTTCCCTACCAAGTGAACCCTGGCTGAGCTACTCCAGTACCCTGTGCGATCAGGCTCAGTGGAGGAGCATGACGCCAGGCTCAGTACTCATGTTGCATGCCCATCCGGTCAGCCCTTGTACTGTGTTAGGTGCCAATTACATGAGATTCCCGTCAGGTAATCCGGTATATGTATTTTTCCACGGTACGCTTTCCCTTTTGTGTCTTTCCTCTGATAGAATTCCTTCTGTTTTCCATAGGGTTCTTCCATATGTAGTACAGCCCTCACGTCAGTCCATGTCACCTCTCTATGGGTAGGATGTGGCTCCAAAATGTCCCCAACATGAAGTTGTCATGACTGAGAAAGCTTTCATTAAAAAAAAAAAAAAAAAAAGGAACACCAAATGATCTTTCTCTCAGTAAGTTCTGTCTTTTTGGCCCCTTTAAGTATCAAATCAAATCAAATTTTATTTATATAGCACAAAATAAAAACAACAGTGTTTGATCATTGAGCTGTACAAAAAGACAAATTATAAATTTCTTAAAAAAGACTGCAAAGCAATGATAAATAGGGAGTTTATAGTACAGTGGTGAGCCTGAGAGAAAAGGTTAGTTTTTAACTTGGATTTAAATTCAGACGCTGTGGAAATTAATCTTATAGATAAAGGGAGACTATTCCACAATTTTGGACCAGCAATAGAAATAGCTCAGTCACCCCTCGACTTAAGTCTAGATCTCGGAACCATCAGCAATCTTTGTTGAGATGACTTTAATAATCTAGCAGAGTTGTTTTGAGTAAAAAGATCAGAAAGACAAAAGATCAGAAAGATATTTTGGAGCTAATCCATTCAGAGCTTTAAAAACAAAAAGCAGAATTTTGAAATAAATTCTGTAACAAATTGGCAGCCAGCGCAAAGACTAATATTGGGGAAATATGATCAAATTTCCAAGTGCCAGTGAGAAGTCTGGCGGCTGCATTTTGAACCATCTGAAGACAACTAATAGTGGATTGATTCATTCCAATATAAAGAGAATTACAATAGTCAAGTCGAGATGAAATGAAATGAATGCATGAATCACTCTGTCAAACTCTGCAAATGTTAAGAAACTCTTAGCTTTGGACAATAATCTTAATTTGAAAAATATATATTTAATTACAGCATTTATCTGTCTATCAAATTTGAGGGCAGAATCAAAAATAACACCTAGGTTTTTCACAGAGGGTTTTACATGGTGAACCAAATCTCCCAGGTCACCATCAAAAGCACCTGGCGCACCTGTAGGCCTAAACACAATAACCTCAGTTTTGCTCTCGTTAAGATGCAAAAAAATGTAAAGAAAACCAAGACTTAATATCAGACAAGCATGTTTCTAATGAGCTTGAGCCTTTTTTGTCATTTTTCTTTAGGGGCAAATACAAATAATTTACTTTAGGGGTGTAAAAGTGAAATGACACCCCATGTTTAGAAAAAATAGTACCCAAAGGAAGCATATACAACAAAAACAAGACTGGGGCCAGAATGGAGCCCTGAGGGACTCCATAGTCCAAAACGGAAACAGAAGAAGAAAACCCATCAAGACAAACAGAAAAAGTTATGTCATTCAGATAGGACTTAAACCAGTTAAGTCCTTAAATACCTTAAATACCCACACATTAAGTTGTGAGATAAGAATTCTGTGGTCCACAGTATCAAAGGCAGCACTTAAGTCTAAAAGTAAGAGTATCACAGAATCCTTTTACTAAAGATGACTCAGTACTGTGATATTTTCTATATCCAGATTGGAATTCTTCAAAAACACTGTTCAGCTCCAGAAAACTCTGCAGTTGTTCCAACATAACTTTCTCTAATATTTTAGAAATAAAAGATATATTTGAAATGGGTCTATAATTGGAGAGGATGGTTGGGTCAAGATTTGTTTTTTAAAGCAAAGGTTTAACAGTTGCATATTTTAGGTATTAGGTATTGCATATTTAGGAACAACACCTGTGAGAAGGGACTTATTTATTATAGCTAAAATGCTAGGCCCAACAACATCAAAGACCTGCAGTAAAAAACGTGTTGGAATTATGTCATGCAGACATGTGGTGGGTTTAAGCTGCTTAATAATATCCTGAAGTGAATTAAAAGTAACTGGCTGAAATTCCTTGAAAGATGAAACACACAGAGAGAACAGATGGATCACAGTTTAAAGACACAATATTCTGTCTTATATCAACAACTTTTGTATGAAAATCTTTAAAAAGCGGTCACATACTGCAGTTGATGCATTAAAATGGACAGCACTCACAGTACTCACAACCAAATTTAAAAGCATTTTAGGTTTATTGCAGTTTTTCGCTGTAATGTCAGACAATGTACTGAGATTTTGCAGCTTTGATTGATCTTTGGTATCTACTGAGTGACTCGTGTAATATTTCAAAAGACAAACCCGTCTAATTTCAAGTGTGGTGCTAGTTAACGAAGGTTCACCTTTAGAATTTTGCTGCTTTTCTCTTAGTGGAGCCACAGAATTTATTATGTCATTACTGATGGAATTGAACAACATAAGTTGTTCATCAACATTAAACAAATTTGAAAGGGAATCAAGACTGTAAGTTTGACAAGCCTCATTGAAGAGAGCAGAGAAATCATCATTAGAAGATGGACTAAAGGTCAGAATCTGCTGTGAATATACACTCGTAGTTTTTGAAACTTCATTTGGAAGAGAGCAGGTGAATGTAACCGGCATATGATCAGAAAAACTCGAATCCAGGATTTCGAGTTCACAAATCGAAATACCATACACCAACACAAGGTCTAATGTGTGGCCCTGTTTGTGAGTTGGACCGTTCACCACATGGATAAAGTCAAACGAGTCAATCAGATTAATAAAATCCTTGGCCAAGGAGTTTGACTCGCAGCAAATGTGAATATTAAAGTCCGCCACAATCAAAAGCCAATCATACAGCAGAACAATGGGCCTCATTCATGAAACGTTTGTAAATATAGGAGTAAATTCTGAGTAATTTGCGCGTAAAACAGACCTTCCCGAAAACTCTCCTCCGGATTAACAAACGCGTCGTAAACGTCCGATTTGATAGTTAAATTCATTACTATTAAATTAATTCCAACATTTGGAAATGAGGCACGTGTGCACGCTCATTCACAATTAGCATAATCCCCGCCTTTGAATTACAACTATGCAAATTGCGTGTCCAAGACTGGTCTACTTTCTCAGGTTTGGCTCCAGTATATTGCATAAATGCAAAAAACACTAATAGGCCATATGCCTAACAATATATATTCAATAACGTGTGTCCACCAAAGCGTTTTTAGCCAGCAGAAAAAGTCAGGCGCTCTTTTTAAAACGGCCAGCTGGTGGTACTGGAAAACGCTTTGGTGGCACAGCGTTTTTCCAGCTGAGACGCTTTGGTTGCTATGATTGGGAATATCCACAGCAGTAACCTATTACTAGTATCTCATTTTGAAGAATATTACTGAATATAAAAATGCAGTAACCAGCAATATTAACTTCTCTTGTTGTTCAGTTGTTGTGCAAGTAGGATGATTGGTCGGTGTAGTATTTGTCCTGCCCCTCCTCCATTGATTGGACGGATGGGTAAAAAGTGACAGTGACCAGCGCTGCGTTTTACCCAAAGCTAAACAGTTTATCAATTCTCATTTTTAAGAATTTTACTAAATATAATAAAGCAGTAACCAGTAATATTGACTTATCAATTGTTGTAGGCAGTTGTTGTACAAGTAGGATGTTTAGGTTTTTGTCCCGCCCCTCCTTTATTTACGGCTGGGTAAATAGTGACAGTGACGAGTGCTGCCTTTTACAATGATCAACTCAGCTGCAAAAAAATAAAAAATAAAAAGAAATAAAAAATAAATGAATTAATTAAAAATGTAAAAATAAAAAAAATTAAAAATAGAGGCCAAGGGCAAACGAACTTGTAATTATTATGGCAGTGCAGCAAAATTCAGTGTCATCAGTTTGACAAAAAGAACACAAAACGTTTTACGCACCATTTACACGTGGTAGGGAGCAGGTGCACATTTCTTTCGTATCAAGTAACATTTTGAAAATACGAATATTTTCATTAATTCAAAAGTTTACGTCAGAACGGCTTTACGAACGATTTACACAAAAATTCATTCTGCTCGTGTTTCATGAATGAGGCCCAATGTTTGCAAACTCATTTAAAAAATCCTTATTAGGTTTTGGAGGGCAACAGCGATGACTAACTGATCCATATTTAGCTGAAACAAGAGAACTTCAAATCTCAAAAACAATTGTCTTTAAAGATCGCCAACAAAAACTGCTTTTAAAAACAGACGCAAGTCCACCGCCCCTGCTAGAGAGCCTAGGGCAGTTAAAAAAAAGAGCAATCGGAGGGCACAAGTTCAGAAAAGGGGCTTGTATCCCCCCCATACTCAACCAAGGCTCAGTCACTAATAAAAAATCCAGTTTGTTTGAGGTGAAGTCTCACAAAATAAATGTCTTATTTACAAGAGATCTAGCGTTTACCAGAGCCATCAGCAACAGAGTCCCTTATATTCAAAAGCGTTTGACGGTCATAAACAATTAAAGTAAAAATATTCTGAGTTAAAAGAGAAATAAAACAACCAAACAAACAGACCAAAGAGCAGATGGCCAGTCAAGCATACTGGCGCCATCTTGCTCTGTCTGAAAGTAGGTGCAAATGATGGGAAGGTTACGGCTTTTGATTGCATCTGTCTAGGCACACTTCCGCTTACCGGCACCTGCATCGTGAAATCTCGTAACACAGTTCAGTGGTTGTGGCGTTTCCTTAGGAACTCCAACATATGTAACCCTCGTTCCCTAAAAGAGGGAATGGAGACGTTACGTCCATTTTGCCACAACCTGGAACTACCTACAGAATGACAGAAACAAGCTCTCGGCTCCTCAGCATAAACCTTAATGAATGGATGCATTCCTGCCATCTTATATACCTGTATGTATGTATATACCTACTCCTTCTATGAGAAGCTGAGAACGTACTGCCAACTTCACAACTCCCGTGAACAAATCAGATTGAAGGTAAACTGAATGCAAGGGCACTTTGACACAGCCGCAACACTTTATCACTGATGAATGTTCATTTAACACTGAGGATTTTGTTGTTTACTGTAGTGTTCTGTATTCATGCTCTTTTCCATTGATTCTAAATAAACCCCAAAATGCAACACTATTCACAGTATATTGCGGCACATAGGAAATGGCCAATATTTCCCATAATTGATTTTTTTTCTTACAGTATAGTACCATTGTAATGGAAAACAGTGTTAGTCAATTTTACAGCATAGGTTTAACATGTATTTGTTTTCATTTTTTTCACTGTAGACCTGATGCCACTGAAAGAAGAGAGTCAAGAACTGAATGAAATGGAAGAAGAATATCATGATTTCATAACTGGGAAAAAATCCACAAAGACCGAAAAGACTTCCTCACGAAAAAGAGCCCAGAAGAAATCTTACAGGTTTTGCACCTGCCATCAGTGTGGAAAGAGATTCAGTCAAAAACAAAACCTTAAAATCCACATGAGAATTCACACGGGAGAGAAACCGTACACCTGTCAACGATGTGGAAAGAGTTTCAGTCAAAAAGGGAACCTTAAAAGCCACATGAGAATTCACACGGGAGAAAAGCATTTCACCTGCCAACAGTGTGGAACCAGTTTCACTCAAAAAGGGAACCTTAAAAAACACATGGGTATCCACACCGGAGAGAAGCCGTTCACATGTGATCAGTGTGGGAAGAGTTTCACACACAAAGACATCCTCAATTCCCACATGAGGATTCACTCAAGAGAGGACTGTTTTTTATGTCAGCAGTGTGGAAGAAGTTTCGCTCATAAAGTAAGCTTCAAGATTCACATGAGAGTTCACACGGGAGAGGAGCCTTACGCATGCTCTCAGTGTGGAAAGAGTTTCAGATATAAACCATCTCTTGATTCCCACATGAGAGTTCACACTGGAGAAAACCCTCACACCTGCAAACTGTGTGGGAAGAGCTTCTCACGAAACGGATCTCTTAAGACTCACATGGACATCCACACCGGAGAGAAGCCGTTCACATGTGATCAGTGTGGAAAGTGTTTTAGACGTAAAGTAACCCTTAATGAACACGTGAAGATTCACTTTAGGAGATAACAGCTTTAGACGCCACCAAAAAAATTGCGAATATGGGAACTAGATCAACTTTTTTCTTAATGGAGGGTAAGTAGATTTCCCACTACAGGTGGGAAGATCAAGAATCATGTAGTGTAGTGTTAAATTTTCAGGGACTGTCAAATACACAGTGTTAGTTTTATTTTAACATTAAAAGTTAATAAAATAGCACTGCTGGTGTTATCTACATCTTGGTGACCGTGTTAAATCACTGTGTTAAAGAGTTCTTTTCACATTAACCCAAATTAGCGTGAATTAGGGCTGTGCGATATTGAAGAAAAATGCGATATGCGATAACTCATTAAATAATGCGATACGATAATGCTTAAAGTGCCACATGCTCAGATGAAACAGTTTCTGAACTTCTATAACTATCTTGTGTCATATATATATATGGTTATTTGTATGTATGTACCAAGAGTTCCTGTGTAAAACCACAACAAATTCCTTGTGTTTACGCACACTTGAGTGGTGAATAAAGCTCATTCTGATTCTAATATAACTAGCATACGTTTCACTTTTTGTGAGAAGAAAGCACCCCTACAACAACTTCTGAAAGTGAACAGTATGTGTTTTACTCGAGCATTACATAAAAATGTCATTTTAACATGAGTTTAGGAACTGAATAATAAAAAGGAAAAATAAAACACTGCGTAGTATTTACTCTTTGAATTCAATATGCACTGATTCTTATTTAAGCTACAAAAGTTATTTAGGTAAGAGCAGTGAGTAATTTTTTCTTTGTCTTTTGTTCATGGCCCCAAATATTGAAAGCTGTAGCGATATGCATATTGCGATATGTACATTTGCGATATTTCGATATATTGCACAGCCCTAGCGTGAATCAATGCCACATCTCCATGTGTTATTCATTGTACCCGTGTTTAACAGTCCCACCATTTTCTCAGGTAAAATTGTTTTCATATGAACTTGCTTCACGAAAACTAGGAGAGAATGTCCAGTTAAAATATTTGTATTTAGAAATGAGTGAAGAGCAAGTTTAAGCAGGGTGTTATTTTAACCGGAAAATTTCAGGAGTGAAGTCATGGCGGCAAGTACTTGAGTTGCGCGCTATGTACATTTTACGTTGGTTTATAACTCGCCATTTAATGAAAAAAGCAGATTTTTGTTGGTTAATGTATATTTATTAGAGATGTAACTTTTCCAAAGTGGTACTTTGTGTTAAATACAAAGTTCTGGCATGAAACTCTAAATGGCACAATCTGATAGATCTAACTCAGTATGATATAATGATATCATCATCACATGTCACAGCTGATTGGTTCGCTCCTGTATCGGCAGCCAATGAGCTCGCTGCTCAACATTCAAATATTTGGATAATGCTTGTTGTAGCAGTTTGCAGCACACTTCAGAAGCAGCTGAAATCAACATCTAAGATAAGTGAAAGCCCTTTTAATCCGTATCGCTGTGTATAATGCGTGGTTTTCCTAATTCAATTTTAAAATGAGTGACCACAAACAAGTTTAAACAAAGCGTCTTGTTAGCAGTTTGCATCGTATGCAGGAGTGAATGTAAGCATATTAGCAGAAGCATCTGTGTTTATACAGCTGGAGCAAAACAGGACACGGAACACAGGTTAAATGAAATGAGCATTCTCGTGTATGTATTTCACCTGGGGTTCGCTATATTCAGTTTAAATCTAAGGTTGATGTTTCATGATGATAGCTTTTTTGCTATCTCTCAAATGGACCATTGACACTATCTACAATCTCAATTAGGAGTGTCAATGGTCCATTTGAGAGATAGGTGGCGGTAATGCACTTATAAGTCTGCGATCCGCTGTAAAGCAAGTAGAAGAAGAAGACGCGTACGCGCTCAGGACAGTTCAGACATTGCAGTGCATCAGACGTAAAAAAAAACCTGATATAAATACTGTTCAGTTTCTTGCACAGACCGATCGTTTCATGTCTTTACACATCAATGTATCGTCACGAGCCGCAAGGTTTAATTTGGTTTTGTTTGTGTAGTTTTTTTTTGTTACTCTCAAAGCCGTGATTCCCATTCACTTCCATTATAAGACTGACAGACTGCAACGGTTTGACTTAAAAATCTTCATTTGAGATCTACTGAAGAAACAAAGTCACCTACATCTTGGATGCCCTGGGGGTAAGCAGATAAACATCACATTTTCATTTTTGGGTGAACTAGCCCTTTAAGCTCTTAACATCTGGCAACCACAAGCATCTATGCTAGTGAAGACTTGTTAGCAATGCAAGATAATGCAAATGCCAAAATAAAAACATGTTTTCAATACCGTGACGATTATTTTTAATTAATCGAGAAAGGTGGACATCGTTATCGTGATTAAAATACGATTAATCGTGCAGCCCTATTTCTCACTGCTGCATTTTGTGTGTAGCGCAATTAATAATCGGTGATAATCAGTTGAATGATAATCAGTATCTAATTTGGCGAAAATAAATGTATTCATAAATATTTATTCTTGTTTATTATATTTCATCTGCACACAAAGAGCTGCGCACTTTCAATGCAGCCACCACCTCTCCAGTGTCTCTTTGTACAAGCCACTTTACTCCAGGCTGCTGCTCCAGGGTCATTTTCCTTGTAATAAATGCACTGCAAGTCACTTTGGATAAATTAATCTGCCAAATGCAAATTTCGAAGGAATTTTTTATCCCTTTCCTTCTTCTCTCTCCTTTCCTCTCACTCGCTTGTTTCCCGGCGCCATCTCTCTTCTGTTTCTCCCCCCAGAAGAACATTTTTGAGAATTTAACATGTAAATGAAGCGTTCTGGTGTAGAGCTCTGCGCGGGACTGTTTTCTTAAACCCGCACCCGCCCGCTCCCGCTGAATGTATGACCAGGACCGCCCACTCCCGCAACCTATGTGTTCCACTCCCGCCCGCGCCTGCAATGTTTGTCCACTCCCGCCCGCTCCCCCGCGCCTGCAATGTTTGTGTCCACTCCCGCCCGCTCCCGCGGACTTTATCTCAGAGCTTGTGAAAAATGTACACAAATACTCAAACTAAATATTGGTTCAAGTTATCCAGAATAACAGACTTTAAACATGATTGCGTTTAAATAAGATAAAGTAACCAATGCTAAACCAAAGCACCACACATGACAAAAACATTGGGTATTTTTTTATTAGCTTATAAAACATTAACCGTTAAAACAAAACAGCAACTAGCGGCACCTCAGTTTTTAAACGCAGGCTAGGCCTACTGCATACACACACACCAAACAGTTAACTAGGAAATAACTTTAACATGAAATAAACACAGAGAACTTTGAAAATAGGCTAGATATCATTTTAACAAATTAAATACAAAAAGAAATAAATAAATAGAATGCTTAAAAATTTAACATTCACAATAGCTTGCTTAACAGGCTATTGCAAAAAATAAAATAAATAATACTAAAAACGTAGACTACTAAACAAACAAATTAATTTGATCACTGGGCCTTGCTTTGCTTACTCCATATTACTATGAAGGAGAAGTATATTGCTGACTGACTGCGGTCCCAGACTTGTGCGTCTTTCTTTTTTTTTCCTGTTAAGAACTATTTTTCTGTAGTTTCTTGCTTAACGTGAGCAGGAAGTGCTTTATGGGGGAACGAGAGCTTGCTTTGGCCACAGAGAACTGTGCAGGTATGTCGCCTCAGGGCACAGGTGGCAGATTTATGTCCGTTGTAAATGAATACTTTTGCACATTTATCGCAACTTACAAAGTTGAACTCTTTCCCATTTTTTTCAGTGACAATTGAGAACTGTTTCCAGATGTCTGACTTGCCTTGCTTTGCTTTTGTCAAGTAAACAGCCGCTTTAATTTTCTTCTCAACTTCTCGTGTTGACTCCATTTCTACTACACGCCAAATCCCACCGTTCCCTGCGGGTCTCCCGTGAAATTTTCTGACCGCCCACTCCCGCCCGCAGCAAAGGTAAAACCGCCTGCTCCCGCAAGATTTGCGTTGGGTCCCACGGGAGCCCTCTATGCAGCCCTCTATGCAGCCCTCTATTCTGGTGCACTCTGACAACAAAATAAAGGAAAAAGACAAGATATGTTTCAAGCAAAAAATGCACATTTATACCACAAACTTTTTGGACAGTGCAACTCTGTTCATACTTCTCTTTGTGAGCAGTGGAGTAATTTATTTTTGCAAATTGTAATTTTCACGTGCGCATACCAGGGGCGGATTGGCCATCTGGCAATTCTGGCAAATGCCAGAGGGGCCGGACCATTTTGTTTAATGTGGGCCGGTCAGATTTTTTCTAAATATATATAAATAAAATTGTTTTTACGGGCCAACAGCGCATAGGACGTGTTTTTATCGCTTGCACGATTGCTCTGTAGTTATAATAATAATATTGTTAATAATAAATGAATGTTAAGCATTTTG